TACAAGCAAAACACAGAGCAGAAAAGTTCAATTTCCCACAGCACTCAAGGGCTGCTAAGGCAGGAGAAATGGGTTTCACAACATTAAAAGCTAAGATAATATTTCCAACAGCTGCTTGCTGCTCAGCATCTGACAACCCTGGCAAGACTGGTTGTAAAAGTAACTGGCTTATTCTTCATTCACATAGTAGTGTAGCCAAAAAGTTTTATTGGTCAAGACCTTTGAAAGAAATAGTACTTTCGGCTTCTCTGGGATCGCCTGGCAATTGTTCTGTACAGGTCAGAAAATAATTAGCTTATGACCTGCAAATCACGCTTCTAGTGGAAGTAGCAGTGTAATTTTTGTAAGGCTACAAGGTCCATGCTACTTTCTTACTACAGAACACTACATAAATTGTGACAGTGACAAGCCTATGATATGCAGCAAGACTACTCACAGCTCAAGTGTCATTATATGACATATGAGACATGGAAATATATTAATAAATCAGCACTCCTAGGGGGAAAACGATCATCCATTCTTCTTTATTTCCTCTTCTTCAGGGATTACTGCCTTAACCTGATTCATGCACCTGACATGGGAGAGCAGACAGACATTCAGGTCAGGAAGACCAGGATGTTGCACTTGGCAAGATCTTCACTTGCCCTCCTGCAAACTTATAGTCTGTCTCGAAGTCATCCTAGCACAGGGCTTCATTCCACTTCCAAAGAGTCTGTGATCACAGATTGGATGTCACCAGACTCATGGGGGCCATGTTTGCAAAGATGAGAAATCAATGCAGCCCCTAATCTACCTGTCAAGCAATGTACTGCCCAGGAGTGGGAAGGTCATGGACAATCCATATAACTGCTCTGTTTGCAGAGAAAGATGTAGGGCTGAACATCAAACACGGTTAGAGCTATAATTTTGAAAACACGTGGAGTAAAATACCATCAACAGTGATATTTGGTCTGAATTTCAGTCAAAAACATCAATCACCTATACCACAAACCCCTCACCTCCGTCCCTACCAGCCTTCCAACCTTAGGCTGCAAGTTTGCTGAATTTCCTATGCAAGACATCCCAGGGGTTGTTTTCCAAAGAGCCAATGCATATCAAAGCAGAATTCAAACTTTTCATCAAAGTTCAATTTTAAACATATTTTTTGAACTCTGGATGGAAGATGGACCTTTACACTAGTTCCAGTGAATTCTCTTTCATCTGTAAATCTTTTCAGTAAAGAATCTTGACTAACCACTTTAAAAAACATTGCAGAAGCACTTTATGGTGTTATTTTACTGGCAATTATTTTGATTTAAAAAAGTACCCCAGGTTCTCAAGTTTCTAAGAAAATTGTATTTACTTGAACCATCTTGCAGAGAAATAGCTTACTGCACATGGAAATTAGCTGAATAGGAAATTACTTTATAGAACCCTTTGCAAAATTCCCTGAACTTAACTCTAATTTAAAATTTGTTTTTCATTTGTTCAGTGTCAAAAGGCAAGTAGTGCTGCTGTAGCAATTTGAATCTCTGCCTTGGGAAGCACAATCCAAGTTCTTGGGGCACTGTTTCCTCATTAGCCATTCTCCAAAGAACAAACTGACAATAACGGATTTAGTATTCCCAAGACAAGCTGAGTGTACTTTACTCTACTCAGTAAAGCCAGCCACTTCTTCACCCAAAATCCTGTAATTTATTTGGTGAAGGAAGGCAGTGTGTGTGAATGGCCAACTTGAAGGCGTTTGTCCCCATGATGAATTTATTATCAGAATGTGAATTTTTAAACAGCAAGCAAAAGAAACTAAAATTTACTCTACCTGCTATAAAATCCAGAGGAAAAAAAAGAGATCAAGAATGAAATCAACTTGCAGTTGTGAATGAGGCTTTAGGTTAATTCTCAGCATAGGGTGCATGTTCACCTCATTACTGAGTGCTGTCCAAGGCTTTCTGTGTTTTCCATGTCTTTAAGCTATTCTATCAACTGTCAAAACCAAAATGAAGTCATAGACTACCAGGAATATTCATTTTCTCCATAGAGAAGAAATTCATTTGCATTCTTCAAAGGGAAAGGATCAGGGAGGAACCACCTAAAAGAAACTGGAGAAGCAGATATTCCCTGGTTTTTATCACTCCTCATGTAGACCCTTTTCTTCAGGTCCCCAAATTTCACTTGAGTGCTGAAAACAAATTAAAACCATTATCTCTGTGGTGTCTTATGTTGAACAGAATCCATCACTCACAGCCCAGAAAGGCGATGACACAGAAGCTTTCCAGACAACTTCACCTACAAGTGAGTTTTACAAGACTCATCTACTCTGAAACTAAAAACAAGACGAACGCACAGCAGGTAATTCTAATTTTAGGAGCTCATTTGACATCATGGTAAGTTATCTTCAACTCTGTCATTTGTACAAGTGCTGCCAAAGGAAGATAAATGCCTTTCAGAAGCATTTGGACTCTGCTTGAAAAATGGGAGACCTGGCAAGTGAACCCTTCCCCCCAAAAAATAAATCACAAAGCACTGCAGCTAAACCAAGCAGAAAGCTAAAACCCGATCTCAGAGCAAGCCTGGACAGATCCAGGGAGAAAAGTACCTGATGACAAGGGTTACTGAAAGTAACTGATAAAATTGACTTCCAGCCATTATTAGATCTCCAGACCTATTTCCAGTTTATCTGCCCTTAGCTTCTTGGAGAACAAGAGAAAACCCAAACATCTGGCATTGCACAGAACCAACGTGGGTGACTGCACCATGGATATCCCTATTGAAGGGTTGCACTGAGGACTGGTTGGCTGCTTCTTGAATCACCTGGGTTAAATCACTGGATGTGAGTTCCAAGGATCTGATGCCACCCTGGCCAAGGCCTGACACATTCACAGAGCATGTGCAGGGCACTGCACCAAGACAAGCAATTGAGAGGGAGATACCAGAGCACAGACAAACACGTAACGCAGAAGGTGTGGTTCCTTTGGGGTCATCACGATAAGACATGCCAAACTCATATTCCTTACATTTACATTTCTTTTGTTTTTACTCCCTGGTCTAAATCACCTTGATGCCTAAACCTGCTCCAGATATCTGTTGCAACCTGGTTTTGCCTCCATTTTCCCCAATGTCAAAGCAAACAGCATTCCTGAGTCTCTCCATAAAGAGGTTTGAATATCAGCAGAAGAGTCCCTGGGCCCACACAAATCACTTGGTCACCATCACCACCAAGACAGATGACAGCAAAGCAAAGAAGTTCTTTCCCAGGAAAAAGCAGTTTTCAGACCCTTCAACAGGAATAGCTGTGAAGATTCTTTATCTTATGTACACACAGATTCATCTGCTTTCTTGATCTTAACCAGAGTCATCCTTCTTCCCTAACCCAAGGTAATGCCAGGAGAGCAAGTGGAGACGAAAGGAGACAAGTCTAGATACCTTTGGTATAAAAAAAGATCAATCTTACAGGCAAGGGAAACATCACATGAGAGAGTCATATCTCTTACAGAGCCCATTTCCATTTCTAAGGGAACCAGGAGGCTGACAGCCTCCAGACTTAACCCACAGATGCCAAGAGATGATTCTGCCTCCTGCTCTTTGTCCTGTTTCCAGTAAAAAAAAATAAAAAATCAAGGAAACAGCATTGCTTTCCTGCTATGTGGGTCCTGTTAACACTCCCAGTCTGGAGCTCCTCCTCTGGTCTGTCAGCACACTGGGGGCTGGAAAAGCACAGTGACAGAGGCTCATCCATGTGGGGATAAATGTCAAGAGGGAAAGTAAAGTGTGGAGCCAGCAAGCAGCAGGCAGGAAACACTGCATGGAATCATGTCCCCAGGAGTCTCCATGAGTTGAAATCAGAGCCTGTTATTAATCTAGCTAGACACTGAGACCCAGGAGCTGGAGTAAATCTGATTAAATTCCCACTGTACCAATGGCTAGAAGCCAAGCAGGTCTTTCTTTTCTTCTGAATGGTAACCCAAAGGATATTTCTGTCTGCTTCACTAAGTAAACATACTGCTTTAAAACAAATAAAAACAGGAGATCGGAAACATCAGGTAAATTTTAGTGTGCCAGTAAGGTCCTTTGAGATGCAACCCAAAGTAAGAAGAAAAAGTTATCTCCTAGCCTGGTGGGGCTTCAGTAGGGGTGGAGAAAGCAGCCCATTTCACCTCTACCCTTCAAACGTGGGATGGGAGGAGTCCTTGAACAGATTAAAAGTAGCTTAAAAGGGGTTAAAAGTGACTCTTTGCCATGGGGAGTTTTGCAAAGCACAGGACAGGTAAACAAAACAGAACCTAAAGAAGAAAAATCCCATTCCACCGGGACAATAGAGAAGAAAACAATATTTAGGAGAGCTAAGTTTTCATTTCAATTCTCAGAAGCTGATGAGGAGCTGACAAAGTGCCTGAGACAAAGTGACTGAGACCATTCCTCCCCACCCCGACCACCACGCTCAGCACCCTGTGAGCACAGCTGGAGCTGCAATAAGTAACTACTAAATGCTCCTTACCTGCCCTGGCCTTGATGGCTCTGGTGTTTGCCAAACCTCTTTGCAAAATCAAATGTAAAAAACAAAAAAATAATCAAATAAAACAAAGATAAAAAGGAAAAAATAATAAATCAAAGCCAAACAAACAAAAAAAAAACCAAAAAAACCCAGAGATGTTCCTTAAAAACCAACAGCAACATATATCAACTGCCAGCCAAGCAGATCTTCCACGAGATGGAGATTTAAGGCACGTTATTCTTGCCCTGTCAAGGGAGACGATTTCAGAGACTTCTTAAAAAGACAGCAATTCGGGTTAAAAATATTGAAATAAACCAAAACGTATCAGCGCTTTAAAGGTTAACAGCCTCTGCTGAACAACATGCGTTTATCCAACCACGTCCTAGAGTAGTTTTTTCAGCCCCGAGACCAATGAGCACAGCTAAGAGGAGGGCCTTGGGATGGTGGAGAGGCTGAGTTACCCCCTCCCCTCTGCCTTCCCTCATCTCCACCTCCCCCTCTTTTTTTTTTCTTTTTTTTTCCCTTTTTTTTTAGTTTAGTAAATTAATGCAGCAAGAAACTCCCAAGATCTGGCGAGTCCTAGCAGGGGAGAGAGGGCAGAGGGGAAATGAGATGCATTAGGAGGACAGTGAGCCACTTTCTTTCCGAGCACAATGGAAGTGCTTCCCAAGAAACTTCCCCTTCGCTCCCCTCCGCTCTAGCCCTGAGCAATGGGACACCTTCCCTACAGCAGCAATAACTTATTCGGGAGGAAAAAAGCCCAGGAAGCAGGAATCAACAGCATCCAAACGGCGGGCAGGAAAGCGACACAACCGGGACTGCAGCACGGCTCCACACTGACAAATTCCTGTGGATGTAATTAGGAAGACACCCCGGCCGGCAGCGGAGATTAAACCCTGGGGTTGTTGAGGGTCGTCGCGCCCCCCACCTCCCACCTCACCCCCGCCACCCCGATGGCAAACCTACACCCGCTGCGCCTCCCGCTCTCGCCAGCCTGATGTCCGGAGCGACATCCCGCTGAAGGGAGGTCTCGGCGCGGGCAGCCCGGTGCTCCGGCCCCAGCAGCACTGCAGTGGCGGTGGCGGGGGCCCCGGCGGAGGAGGGACGAGCCGAGGCGGCGGCGGAGCGGGGCCGCTCTCCGCGGTGCTGGGCGGGCGCGCTCCGGGCGCTGTCCGGGTGCTGAGCGGGGCCCGCCGCTCTCCGCGGTGCTGAGCGGACCCTCCCGGCCGCGCCCCGGCCCCGGCACGGGTGGTTCGCTTCCACCCCCCACCGATTCTTCCCTAAGTGCCGGGTTACTTTATTGGCCAACCCCACCGGCCCACCCCTCACGGAGTACAAAAAAAAAAAACAAACCAACAACCAAACCAAAACAACAACAAAAAAAAAAAAAACCAACAACAACAAACAGCGAGAGCTGGAAAAATGTGCAACGTCAACGCGCTCGGAGTCTACGTGTGGGAGACGATCGTTTTCTTCAGGTAAGGCTCGGCTTTACGCGAGGAGTGTGTGCGGGCTGGAGCGCCGTGCCCAGCCCGAGCTCGGGGCACAGCCCCCGGGCATAGCCTCGGCTCAGGACAGCCGCGTTCCGCCTTCCCCGAGCTGCCTTTTGGCCTCCCCCCCGGTTCCCCCGAGCCCGGCTCACGCACAGCCCCTGGGCTCGGGACTTTCCGCGGCTTTGGGAGTTACTCCGTTTAATTAGCACCGCAATCTCGCCAACCGCAGTGCTGAAAACACCGACCCCGGCTGCTTGCAAAGTGACAGCTAGTGGCGGCTGGCAATGCTGCACTTGAATTTGCCCGGGTAAATATTCCCACCTCGCCCCCTCCCCATTCTTCATATTGCAGGTGAGTTCCGTGGGATGCTTGCACTGCTCATCTGTGAGGGCTCACCCTCTATCCTCAGCTTGCTCTGTTCTAAAGTCACAGAAAGCAAAGAAATAATCTCCTTCCTTCTGAACTTTTTTTCTTTTACATTGTTTTGAGTATTCTTCCCTCGCAGAATATAAGTGAAAGCCAAAGGGGACGTGGGGAGCTTTTTGCAGTCATGTTCATTATCACCCAGCTATATTTTGACTGTGGTTTAGATATGTTCCGTTTCTCTTTAAGGCCAAGATAGAAGGAACAGCTTTAGTCTTAAAGAACTGTTTCATGTCCATCTATCCTTGCAGTGCTTTTATTAAATGGACAAAAAAATATTGGAAGATAGAAGCTCCTATATTTGCACAAAAGATGCAGCCTGCTGTAGCAAGTGAGAGATGCCAAATACAATTGGAGAAAAAACCTCTGTCATGACCTGAACTTGTTCATCAGTCTTAGACTTCATTTCAGTTGCATGGCTCTTACTTCTGCATTTTACCGAAGTGTCATGTTGTAGTTTAATGGGAAAACACGGACATTATTTGAATATACATCACTGGTATAATACCTTATGATTCACAGTAGCAGACCTGCTGATACTGGCCAGACTTTTCTAGCTTGCATTCTCTTTCCTTTTGAACACTAAAGTCTTTCCAGGCATAAAAATCGAGATATCCCCACTTTTTCTGTAACTCCACAGAAAATCAGAGACAGCAAGATTGCAACATGAACTCAAAGCATTTAATGCTTAGGCAAGCCAAAAAATAAATTCTAGAAATAACTAAAATCATCAATCTCTAAAAAGCCATGTCCAGCACCCGATACTTCGGAGCCATCCTTTCTCATCTTGTGACACTTAGACACAAGTGTATCACAGCACTGCACAATATAGTGGGGTGGATTGAAAGGGAGAACATGTATGTGGCAATAAACTCTTAGTTAAAAACAGTGTTGAAGCATTGGGTAAAAAAACAAAACAAAACAAAAAGCCCCCAAACAAACAAACGAGATTAAACAGCACAAACACTAGAAAGCAAAAGGAAAATAAAATAAAAGAGTCTTTTCAGGCTTGCATTTCCTATGGCCCTGGTATTGAAGCCTCGATCCAGGTCTCCTCTGAACAGACTGAACAAGTGAAATCGATACACACTTGTGCATCACTCAACACATGTGAGCACTTAGAGGTTCTCAGCACATCAAGTACAGACCTGGGCACTCAAAACCTTGGTAAACAAGTCACTTCAGATTCTAATGAAAAGCTTCATAGTATCATAAATTATATACATGCATATGTGGTATATATGATGAGGTTATATTGCATACAAAAGGTATTTCTGGAAGTTTAGTTTTCCCAAAATTAACATTTAAGAATATTTGAAAATGCTTTAATTCAGTTGCTGGGGGAGGATGAAATCAAATTGCTTTATATATTGCAATCATTTTCCAAGCAGGAAAAAAATAATAATTAAAAAAAAAAAAATCAGTAATTCCTGCTTAGAACTGACTCTACACAATGTTTTTCCTTTTTTTTCCTCTCCCGCTTTGTGTTACATGTTCAATTAATTACAGGCCAAAAATCTACCAGCCTTTCTGGTCCAGGAATAGCTTTGCTATTTCAGTTTCAGTAAAAGAATTTTATTCATTAACAGTCATTCATAAATTTAGCATGCCAATTATTCACTCATACACAATGTTTAACAAACCCAAATCTGATAATCCAGTAATCCATAAGAGAAGTATGCATGGCTTTAAATTACAGAGTGCACCACGTTTTATTGTCAGTTTGTCAAAAATATTCTGGAAAGAGAATCCATTATGTGTTAGTACATGTACCACACAAATATAAAAAAAAAAATTAAAAATCCAGTGTTCCAAGGAAAATTATATACAGCCAATGTAGGAAATAAGACTAGATTTGTTGCTTAACAAAATCTTCCTCCACCAGCCTTTTAAAAAAAAAGACCCTGTGGGAAAGAGTAACAGCTGGTGTGTGAATGCAAACATTATGGTATTGCCAATATGATATTTGTTTCTGTTACAGTTGGGGTGTTTTAGAAGGAGTTTGTGATACGTGGCTTATTCCGAACATGCCTTTCTTTATGGAAGAGCACTTCCCATTCTGCTACCTGCCTTTCTCAGACTGCAGTCACTTGGCTGTGACTAAGGCATTTACTGAGAACCTGGATAGAGGCAGGGATGGAAGCTGGGTTGGGGTGGGAGATGAAGACTGAGAGGCAGCTTGACCAAGCTTTCCTTACAGATATCTCAGTAAGGCAAAATCCGACTTCCTTAAAATAAATTGGACAATATTCACAGGGGGATTTCCAGATGTTCTGATTGTATCTGTGGAGACAGGTACAATCATTCTCCCAAAGTCTAACTACATACACTGCACGTTCAGTTGTGAATTCCTTCACGCAGAACAAAATGCTCCCCTATCCCGTGGTGATCTTGCCTGGACTTTCTGTTGAACCATCACATTTTAATTGCTGCAGTGGTCCAGAAACACCACTGCATAAGCTGGGGGTAGGAATGCACCTTGTACAAGTTAGGACATAGAAGATATCCCAAAACTGACTCCTTACCCAACTGGACACTGTCCTGTGAGGCTTTGAAATTCTTTGGGCCTGATTTTTGTCCTAATTGTACTTCTGCACATCAGGAATCCACAGCACGACCTTCACTGAATCAAGATCAGAGTTGGCCCCTTCTGAACAGCAATCTGTCAGCAAGCAGGAGTGATTCAAGGCTACTGCTCCAAGTGAGTCACAGGCTAAAACTTGCTGCCAGCCTCAGTCCCTACTGGATTGCTCCAACTGGCGTGTTTATATTCCTTTCTGTCAGTAACAGAGCTCTTAACTTCCAGTTGTTAAAACAAGAAGGTGCCATTGTAAATATGATACCTCTTAACTTTTGGGGGAGGAAAGACACTCTTTCCTAAGACAGTCTTGACAAGTTAGGGTGACTGAAGATCTGCTGGTTTCAGCCTCTCAAAAATATCACAAAAGGAAAGGCAGGTGAAGAAAAAGGAGTATAATGTGCACCATACCTCTAAGGTTCCTGCTATAGCTCTGCAGTGCCAGGTAACATCTCAGAGCTGCCTGAGTGAAGCACCAACCAGAGACTTCCAGAGCCACAAGCGAAACAGCATAGCAGATATTCTCAATACTTAAAGAATATTTTCCTCATGCTTACTAAAATCTATTAGAAGTTGTGCCTTAGGACCTGTTGTGCCTCTGCCGAGCCTGTCATCTCCTCCATGAAATAAAAATGATTTAGCAAAGTCTTGGACTAGATGGCTCTAAGGATACTCTTTAGTTGCTTTGGTCTGCAACCTTTAATAGCCCCATTAGAGACCCCACTAAAAGGGTTACACGTCTAAGGTTTGAAAGTGTGACAATGTAGACAATTCTAGAAACCTTTATAAATCATTCTGGAAAGAAAAATTAATTTGGTGTCATCACAGTAAAAGCACAAAATGTCTGGGACCCTGCCTTCTGCAGGGACTTTAATACATCCAGCCAGGCAGGCATCCTGATTCTCTTGGATTTTAGGCAATTAAGACAAATCAACATAAAGTATGCAAAACATTTTCTAACAGTCTGACCTTAACCACCTTCTCCAAACAGCTGCCTTAAACAACTCCAGAACTGCTATTTGGATAGTTCAGAAGAAAAGAAAGGCTCCACAAATGTCTGGGCAAAAAACCAGCCCCCTTCCTTCACCCCCTTACATTGAGTACAAAGAGCAGGAAAACACTAAATAATTAACTTGCTTACCAAAAAACATTACAAAACAACATTGCAGTTTCTCCCATGCAGTAATAAAATATGCTTCGTCTCCAAGGCACTGGCGCTGCACAGATTTTAGGTAACACAAACTGGCTGTCCACCTTGGCTCACTCTGAACATTACCCTACACTGCAGCAAGTCCCACTGGCAGAACACAAACTTACTGTGCAAATATCTCAGGGGAGCTGCTTCAGGAAAGAGATTGATACGTGGAGGGAATGGTGGGATCCTGCCCTTACGTGTAAGGGCACTACAGAGACTTCCTTCAACAACAAGAATTCAGACATGAGAATTTGGTCCCCCCTTATTTCTCTCCTCTCACTAAAGAGATGTTGGAGACCCTTAGGTGGGATGCAAATCAGAAGCAAAGGGCCCTCTGACTCCCAGTGCCCCAGATTTAACAGCACAGACTAAAGGCTACAAAGTTCACTCTGCTACTGACCAAGTGATTCCAGGCAGAGAGGAAAGAACTTGTAAACAACAGCTCAGGGCAGTTCCCTGGTCTTGGGCAAACAGGTTTCTTGTTTGCTTATGAAATTCATCTCACCAAATCCTCATGAGCTAAGGATCCCAACAACTGAATTAAGAAGTTAATCAATGTCCAAAATTAAATTACTTTATTATCCCAGCCCCGACCAGCAATCATTCATCTGTAATAGAAAACCAGCAGACAGGTCTGTTCTCATTTCATCCCAGCATGCAGGTTAAAAGGACTCTCCCAATTTCAGTGTCAAGCACAAGATGTCAGATCACTTAATGAATATAATTTTTATTTAGGTACTGATGAAAGACAAGGGTCTTAAAAAGTAACTCCTGCTTTAAAAATCATAA